CTGTTTTTAAATTGAGAAATCCACCTTTATTTCCCCTGAAACGATACTCTTGACTCATAGTTTCTATTATCTCCTGATTTATGTCATTAATGGCAAATTAAAACCAAATCTTTCTCCCAAATTGCTGACCTTATGGTTAGCAGGTTAGTAATGCACTGTGCCACCACGGCTCCTATGTCGCCAATGTGGTTGTTAGGCGCTATTGAATCAGTCCTGACTGACTCACAGCGGCCTTATGTACAACAGAATGAAACACTGCTTGGTCCTGTGCCATCCTCAGAAATGTTCTTTTTTTCTATGTTAAAAAAACCTTTTCTTTTGATTTACTATACATATTTAAACTGTAGGAAGGTTTCTCTGTGGGTTTGGTCTGATTTTCAGTGACCAGTTTCTACGGTCTTACCAATAGCTTATCCCATTGTAAAATGTGCTCTTAAGTGAGTGAGTAAGGAGAGACCCTGGAATCTGAGTACAAGACTTGGCTGGGTGGCTTGGAGATTGTGAAACGCTAACAGTTCCTGCTGGAAACAATGACTTGTTCTTGGCATAAGAGGGCCCTTTCTCACATCTATGAAGTCACCAAATCTGTGTAACTTGACTCTTCTCTTGGGGTTCTGGGATGCTTTCTCTTTTATGTAATCTATTTTGTACTCATGCCAACATATTTCTAATGCTACTTTTGCATCCACTTTCAAAATTTCAAAGGGAAAATCTTTATACATTTAAGTTTGAGCATCTTTTGTGAAGGAAGGCACCTCTTTTTCAGGTCTCTGATCCAACACGACATCCTAGCAGAAGGCTCTGGCAATTACAGGCACCTCTGGAGCTCTGACCAAATTGCCCACAGACTTCTCTTTAAATGCTCGCCCCATCACACAGCCCATCAGCATGGCACCAGAGTGCCAATAAGCCTTATTCACTTCTCTTGGGTCTCGATCTTTGAAAGTTAGAAATTTAATTTCATAGGACTTGCTCAAAGGCTCCTAAGGCTGTCAGTCAACAAGAGCCAGTATGGACTTTTTGCAGTGCCACTCACTTAAATGCATGGCACAATTATAAGGGGTTGAAAGGTTCTTATTCATCATAGAGACAGTGCCAGGGTAAATTTTCCTAACATGTTTTAAGTTCAATCTTCTCAATTCTAGGAATTAGAGATAACTGCCTGCTTGTCTGTATATTAAAGAGTTCATTGCGCATTTCTGTCAATTCGGTTGGTGACGGCTGAGAAGCTGATGAAGTTGCTCTCAGTCTCCAGTCTGCCCCAACACCAGGCTCCAGACCCCCAAAGTTATCGCCTCCATTGCAGCCAGGGAACTTCTCACAATTGTTCTTATGTTTAAGCCCATTGTTGCAGCCACTGTGTCAATCTATCTTGTCAAGAGACTTCCTCTTTTTCATTGCCCCTATACTTTACCATGCCATCAAGAGACACGGGAAACAGCGGGTTAGCGTCTTTTGTTGTAGTCCTTGACGGTTGGGAAAGTATTTCAAATAGTAAATCTCCTTTTCACATATGAGTCCGAAGTTTTCAAACACATCATTAATGTGGATAATGTAGAAAATATTACCCTGGCCTTCACAGATAGCATTAGAATCAGCAGTCACTTATGTGAAATAATTTTTCTTTCTAATTATATATCTCCTTTCCTAATTGTTTAGGATTTGGGTAATTTCAGATCAAGAATTGTTTTAAAGAATATTTCAATGAAAATTACGTTTATCTTAAAGCTGAATGTTATATTACTAGTTATCATGTCTGTATATTGAACAAATTAACAGAGAAACTGGATTATATGACAAAGAGGAGCATGGCATCAGGATTGGAGGAAGGCTCATTAAGAACCTGTGATACGCAGATGACACAACTTTGCTTGCTGAAAGTAAGGAAGACGAAGTACTTACAGATGAAGATCAAGGATTGTAGCTTTCAATATGGATTGGAACTCAATATATAAAAAAACAAAAATCCTCACAACCAGATCAATAGGTAACATTATGATAAGTGGAGAAGAGATTTAAGTGGTCAAGGTTTTTGTCTTAGTTGGATCCACAATCACTACTTACAGAAGCAGGAGTTAAGAGAGCAAAGGATGCATTGAATTGGGTAAATATACTGCACAAGACCTCATTAAAATATTAAAGGAGGTCAATTTGAGAACTAAGGTGTGCCTGACCCAACCCATGGAATCACCGAGTAAGCATGTGAAAATTGGACTATTGAATAAGGAAGATGGAAGAATCGTGGATGCATTTGAATCATGGTGCTGGCAAAGAATATTGAAAGGACCATGAACTGCCCAAAGAACCGACAGATCGGCCTCGGAAGAAGTACAGCTAGCAAGGAAGTACATGAAATTTCATCGTGTGTACATTGGACATGTTATCGGGAGAGACCGGTCCTGGGAAAAGGATATCATGCTTGGTGACGTAGAGGGCAGCGAAAAGTGGAAGGCCCTCAGGAGATGAATTGATGCACTGGCTGCCTCGATGGGCTCAAACATAACAATCGTAAGGATGGCGCTGGATCAGACAACATTGCCGTGAGTGGGAACCAACTCATCAGCACCTAACACCAACGGGTGGAGTTGAATCCCAGGCAGTCAGTCCCACATGCTACCCACAAGGAGCTTCATTTGTGAAATGAAGTCATAGAAAAGGGGCGGCGAAAAAGAGGAAGACTTTTGACAGGATGGATTGCTACAGTGGTGGCATTGAAGGGCTCAAACATCAGAACAATGGCGAGGCTAGCACAGGCCCAGGCAGTGTTTCGTTCTATTGGACAACAGGGTTGCTCTGAGTTGGAGCGGACTCAGTGGCACCTAATAACAACCACAGATGTACTGAAAGCAGCCTGCTCAGTGAAGGCCAGCGTAACACGTGTGTATAGAAGTCTTTCATCTGCTTTGCTCGAATGGAGCCCCCAACTTGATATTGCCCATCTTGGAAGGTGGACCATGGATTCTTACATTGAAATAGCAAGGTACTTTGAGGTTTCTTTTGAATCCTTCCTTTCTTCTCAGGTTGGGGTTTTTATGAATAACATAAAATTTGACTTTTTTTTTTAAAGTGGAGAGGAGGGTAACTCTTAACCAAATCATGTTGGAGTTTACTTTTTTCACCCCTTCCTTCCTGCAGGGCATCAATACTTCGATAAAACCAAAAACCAAACTCACTGCCATCGTGAGGATTCTGACTCACAACAAGCCGAGAGGGCAGGGTAGACTTGCCCTTGTGCATTTTTGAGACTGTGACTCTTTCCAGGAGTAGAAAGGCTCATGTTACTTCCCACAGCATGGCTGGCAGTCTTGAAGTACTAGCCTTGCAGTTAAGGAGCTCTGGTGGTCTAGTGAGTTACATGTTGGGTTGCTAACCACAAGGTTAGCACTTCAAAACCAAAAGCCGCACTGAGGGAGAAAAGTGAGGCTTTCTACTCCCAAGAGGAGGACAGTCTCCTCAGAAATCCACGGGGACAATTCTACCCTGTCTTATAGGGTCGCTATGAATTGGCATCCACTCGTAGCAGTTAGTTTTTGGTTTGAGCCTTGTAGTTAGTAGGTCTAATCTACTACGTCACTGACCAAAATTAAACAAAAAACTCAGTGTCACTGAGTCAATGCCAACTCATGGCAGGACCCTACAGGTTAGGGTAGAACTGCCCTCTTATCATTTCCCCAACCCCAAGATGATGAAAACAAATCCCATATAGTTTAGTCATATTAACCCACAACTCATCCTGATAGAATGGATTCCATATAAACCAAAAAACAAACTCACTGCCATCGAGTCGATTCCAATTCATAGTGACCCTATAGGACAGAGTAGAATCGCCCCATGTAGGTTTCCCTATAGGACAGAATAAAACTGTTTCCAGGCTGTAAATCCTTTAGTTTCCAAGGCTGTAAATCTTTTTTTTCCCCCCAAGGCTGTAAATCTTTATGGAAGCCGACTGCCACATTTTTCTCCCACTGAGTCATATTAACAACAAAACAACCCACTGCTATCAAGACCATTACGACTCATAGCGACCCTATAGGACAGGGACCAGCTGCCCTTGTGGCTTCCAGAGGCTGTAAATCTTCATGGTGGCAGAAAGCCTCATTTTGCTCCTGAGGAGCTGTTGGTGGGTTCAAACTGCTGACTTGGCGATTAGCAGATAACAAGCAACTCACTTTGCCACCAGGGCTCCTTTGCTTAATTATATTGCATCATTTAAATATCAATTATCTTGGGAGTGTTTATTAAATATGTAAATCAACTATGAATCCTAACCAATATAAGAAAAAAATGTAAAGCATCTGCAAGCGTATTTTCAAAACAACCATCTCACTGCCATCGAGTCCATCCCGACCCCTAGCGACCGTATAGGACAGGGCAGAACTGCCTTTGTGGGTTCCCAAGACTGAAACTCTTTAAGGGAATAAAAAGCCTGTCTTGCTTCAGTGGAGTGGCTGGTGGTTCTCGAACTGCTGATCTTATAGTTAGCAGCCCGATAGAAATCATATTCCTAATGAGGGAACTTTGGTGAATGTTGAGTTTATCTGAGGGGGCGGGAAAACGAACCGCAACCTGCAGAACCAATAATTTGCTCTGAAAAACACTCGGCTTTCCTGAGGAGAAAATTCCGTTTATTTACAAATAGGGGCTCTTGAGTAATCCTAGCCTTTGGCCAGAAGCGTTGTGTGCCGGGAGTTGTAGTCCAGAAAGAACCTGCCCATTTCAAGATGGCAGGTAGATAATGAAGTACGAATGAAGGAACCCCAAGGGAGTGGGGGCCGTGAAGGGATTGGGGGCGGACGGGGGCGGGAATTCAATTCGCGGGAAGTGCGGATCAGGTGTTAAAATCTACGGCGGGAGGCGGGGCCTTCTGAAGTGTCGCGAGATCCTGGCGCGGCCCAATGGAACGCGTGGCCGGGCTGGTAACTAGGATAGATTGTTGGGGGCGGAGCTCTGAGGGAGCTGGGCGGGCTTCGTAGCGGCTGTGCGGCCCAACGGCGGCGGTGAGAAACCCAGCCGAGACCATGAAGGAGGAGAAGGAGCACAGGCCGAAGGAGAAGCGAGTTACCCTGTTAACGCCCTCGGGGGCCACGAGCGGCGGCGGCGCGGCTTCGGGGGAAATCGCCAAGGGAGACGACAAACAGGGCAACAAGGAGAAGAAAGAGGCGCTGAGCAAGGTGCTGGCGGGTCGTTGATTTTCGGGAGGGTGGGACAGGTCTGCCGCTCTGAGGGGACGGTGGGGCATCCTCGGCTCCCCTTCCTCGCCCGGTCTCTCCCTCAGCCCTCGCCTGAATGAAAACCGCCACCCCTCACCTCAGCCGATCGCCCGAAAGCGGGGAAGCCCCTCGCGGCCAAGCCTCGGGGTGGGAGTGAGGGAGAAAAGGAGGGCTCCCTGGATGGGGAATCCGGCTTTCGGGGTCCCAGCCCGGAGGGTGATTGTCGGGGACGGGGCAACAGTGGAGAGAACGGGGAATTAAAAGGTTTATCGGGGAGCTTAGGAAGCCGAGAAGGGGGCGGTACTTGGGGGGAGTTGAGGGAACGCGCCGGAGGGAGATGAATGATCGCGGGGCGGTGGGGGCGGGGGCGACGTCGGGAGCCTCCTGTGTGGGGAGTGATCTGTGAATTTTTGAGGTAATCTCACGTCATTATAAGAGTTTTGAATTCTTGAAACTGAACGAGTAAGGATTTTGGTTTAAGAGGTGTAGAACGCGCGGGGAGGGGTACGAAATACGGTATCCAGAGTTGGTGACACCCCCGGACGACCCGGGTTTGTTTCCTGGGTTCTTAGCACTAGATCTGGTGACAAATGGGTGATTAAAAAAAACAACAACAAACGGCGTGGAAGCCTAATAAACTGCTGGGGCTGAGGGTTCAGAAAGCTGACTGCCTGGTGTGTAAAGAGTTTGGGGTTGGTTGCTTTGAAATGTAACGCGTTATTAGGTTTGCTTGATTCTGCCCTTTTAAGATTTTGTGAAGGAGATTTTTCTGGTTTTGGTTTTGGTTTGCGTTTTAATAAGCCAAACACATCATTCAAAACCCAGCTGGCTTCTTTCAGGTATACAGGGGAAATTGCTTTACAATTGCTTGATTTTCCTTATTTCTTAAGGTGGTTATTCGGAGATTACCTCCCACTTTGACCAAGGAGCAGCTTATGGAACATCTTCAACCTATGCCCGAGCATGATTATTTTGAGTTCTTTTCTAATGATACTAGGTAAAGTGGCAGGGTGGGGGCAGTGTGTGTGGTGGTGGGGGGTGGAGGGGATTCCATGAAACGGATGCCTTTCATGCTTTGCAGCTACTAATTCATTCCATTTGAGATTTGAGCCTGCATATTTTATGTGTGTTATTGTGATTCAGCCAGACTCCCTGCAATCATATTCACGGCATTGCTCTCCTCTCTGCAGTCTGTATCCTCATATGTATTCCAGAGCATACATCAACTTTAAAAATCAAGAGGACATCCTTCTGTTCAGGGATCGCTTTGATGGTTATGTATTCCTGGACAATAAAGGTGAGTCCTTGGAACCAAACTCCAGGGTAGGTTCTTTGTCATTGAAGGGTGGGGTGAGACTGGGATGCATGTGCCTCCCCTTTATAGCTTTGTGAAAATTCTGGGTGATAAAATGTGCGAGTTAAAGGGTTTTTACACATGTGAGAGCACTCATAGGTTCCATGTCAGAGCCCTGTAGAATTTACTTACCTGAACTGTCTGTGGTTAAAACAACTGGATGCAATTGCCACTGTTTTCCTATGTGACCCTTGTTTTGGGGCCCTGGATCCAGATGGTAATGTTGTTTTGATTATTTACTGGTTTAGCAGCGATAACTTAAAAAAATGGCCCTCCAAACTTGGACAGCAAGTTTTGCCTTCTTACTTCACATGTGGCTTCCAGGCCCAACACTTATTTCATTATTTAATTCAAATCCTTTAAGACACTAGACTCCAGTGGGACATTGGGACACATTTTCACTCAGTTGTATGTAATGAGAATATCAAACCTGGTTATCTTCCCCCATTGTATCCACAAGGGCACAGTCTATAGGGAAGAACAATTTCTGCTGTAACTCTTTTCAAATTATTATCTACAAAACTTAGGACCCCTGGAGTCACATTGGGGTGCTAACCACAAGGTCAGCAGTTTGAACCCACCAGCCATTCCACAGCAGAAAGATGAGACTGTCTGCTCCTGTAAAGATTTTTTACAGCCTAGGAAATCCACAGGGGCAGTTCTGCTCTGCCTTGTAGGGTCGCTGTGAGTTGGAATTGACTCCATGGTAGTGAGTTTGGGGTTGGTTGGCTTAGTGGATTTGCCTGTTGGGCTGGTAACCTCAAAGTCAGAAGTTCAAACACACCAAACCCTCTGAGTGAGAAAGATGAGGTTCTCTGCTGCTGTAAAGATTGACAGGTGCAGAAACCTAAAGGGGCACTTCTGTTTTGTCCTATAGTGTCACTGTGAGTCGGAATCAATTCAGTGGCAGTGAGTTTTGATTAGATTGGGTACAAGATTTAGTCATTTGCTACTTTGGACTATACAGTCAGCCCAGCAAACAGTGTGCCATTTTCTTTAGGGTTTTTTGTTGCCCCCTGCCCAGAGTCCTCCCTGCAAACCAACCTGCTCTTCCACTCCAACTTTGATCCTCTAGCAGCAGCTAGCATGAGTTCTATATTGCCTCGCTTAAGTTTTCATCTTTTTTCTAGCCCACTCATTTCATCAAGTGATGACTTAATTTATTATGTTTTAATGTGTTCATCTAGACCAGACGTCCTCAAACTATGGCCCGCGGGCCACATGCGGCCTACCGAGGACATTTACCCGGCCTGCCAGGTGTTTTTGCCCCATTTGTTTTTTTACTTCAAAATAAGATATGTGCAGTGTGCATAGGAATTTGTTCATAGTTTTTTAAAAAACTATAGTCCAGCCCTCCAATGGGTCTGAGGGACAGTGAACTGGCCCTCTGTTTAAAAAGTTTGAGGACCCCTGATCTAGACTTACTAACACTGCACAGTTGATGTCCCTGCCATCTAATGCTGGGGCAACCACTACCTCTACACTTAGAGGATTTTCCATGTTTTGTGTGACTGCAGTCTACTGTATTACTATGAAATTCAGCTTAAAAAATAAATACTGATTTTAAGGTAACTAATTTTTTTTTTAAGTCCAAACTCCTTTGCCTAGTGTTTAGTGTTCTCCATGGTCTGGCCCTACTACTGTTGTTCACAATTTTTCCAACTTTGGCCTGATTTATGAATTCCTTTTTGACTCTATCATAGTTATTAAGGTAATCTGATTCAGCATTCGTTAAACTTACTGCCACCAAGTCAACTTGAGCTCATACCAACCTTGTGGGACAGAGTAGAACTGCTCCCTAGGATTTCTGAGACTCCAAATCTTGATGGAAGCACAGCCCTATCTTCTTCCCTTACAGCAGCTGGTGGGTTTGAACCTCTAACCTTACAAGTAGCAGTCCAAAGCTTATCTCATGGCACCATTAGGGCTCCTTCAATTTTCATTAGGATTTGCAAAATCGTGTTTTTTTCCATGATTGTTTTGGGATACCATCTAGCCATCAACCATCTGATTCCAGGCTTATATATATATGCCATTGGTCCAAACCTACGATTTTAAGCGCTGTGTGACATTTTTCCGTGGCAGAGAGCTGATGGCTATACATACTTAAATCACAGCCTATTGAGATAGCATTAACATACCTAAAATTCACCCTTTTAAAGGATAATACAGTTCAGTGGCTTTTAGTATCGACGTAGACATGTACAGCAATTGCTACAACCTAATTTTAGGACATGTTCATCACCCTCTCCCTAAAGAAACCTCTAACCATGAGCTGTCACTCTTCATTCTCACCACCACCTTCCCTTCACTCCCAAGCTCTAGGCAACCACTAATCTACTTTCTGAATCTCATCAATTTACCTATTATCGGTTGACACTTGGGGTGCCTTGGAAAGCACACTGACTATAGCTGTTCCAGTGTTGGTTATGCTCATGAGAAGACCCTCTTCAGGTGACCCCCATCAAAGGAGGTCTAGAGAGCAGTCGGCGGACTCCTTCATCACCACTTTTCTCTTATGTTGTTGCTTTTCAAAACAGGTCAAGAATATCCTGCTATAGTAGAATTTGCACCTTTTCAAAAAGCAGCAAAAAAGAAGATTAAGAAAAGAGACACCAAAGTTGGAACTATTGATGATGGTACAGTACTGCTGTCTTTCTGTTATTGCTGTGGGTTTTGTTCTAACATTGCTCCGCAGGTGGGTTAGACACCAGTATTTGAAATAAGAAAGTGTACCAAATAAAGCTAATGAGAAAAGTGATTGGCTAATGGAGGCTTTGCTTCTTTGTTAGGTTGGAAGTGGGTTTCTTTTACAGTTTCTCTCCTCCGCCAGCAACATTGTGTCCATCCCCCATTGAGCAATGTGAGTTTCTGTGAGTGTAGCTCTTTACAGGAGTAGAAATAGAAAGCCTCATCTTTCTCCCTCTGGTGGTTTTAAACTGCTGACCTTTCCCATAGCAGCCCAACACATAACCACTATACCACCAGGACTCCTCACCATTGGTTGCAGTCTCCTCAGTATAACAGCATTCTTCCCACTTCCCTGTGTTTCCTATTTCGAGTCAAAACTTTTTTTTCCCTATCCCTTCCTGCCTTTGAGCTTTCTCTCTTCCAATCTCGTATGGTTGATAGTCCTAAGGAGTACGTATGTACATACATCTGTACCTCTCTGGCGGTATTGTCCATCTTCGGTAACTGTTTAAATTCTTGCACAACTGTCAGACTGGTGTCCAGTGTGGCTGCACCATTGTACATTCCCATCAGTGGTGTATCCAGGCTCCACATATGCCCTAGTTCAGCTCAGAATGAGTGTTGTCAGCTGAGTCCAGGAGGGCATGGGGCAGTTCGACCCTGTCCTATGGGGTTGCTATGAGTTGGAATCAACACAATGGCACTGAGCTTTTTGGATCCATCAGTGTCATGAGGAGGAGGAAACCAATTGGCTCTGTAAACTTTCACCCAAATCGCAATATGTCCCCAAAGGCAATGAATATAATAGTCCACATCTTTTCCACCTCTTATTACAATAGTATAAATGGTAGGGAGAGAGTTCATCTGACCTCCAACTTCACAAGAGAGGGAGGAGAAGCAAGATCAAAAGCCCAAGGCAGATTCCTGTGAGGTGGAGGTTGGGCATACTCTTTCTCCAACCTATCCGACTCCGCACCAATTCTGACACCAGCTGTTTCTCCCGTGGCACTCTTTAATTGGTTGCAATGGTTGCACAGAACTCTCAGATAACTGCATGGCTGTGGGGTTTATTTAGGAAGTGACATGTTATGATTCGGGATCAGGATTAACAGGCTACAACTTGAACGTTGGAGCAAGATCAGGAAGCGTGTAGGCAAAATCTCCCTTCAGTGTAGAACTCTCTCGGGGGTTTGGTGCCATGCAGGGTTGCTCTCAGGCCCCTGAGGACAGCCTTCTCAGAATAGGCCTCCTCTTGCTCTCTCAGGACAGGCCTCTCAGCCCTCCGCCCTTAGCTCAGTTTGGTTCTTACCTCTCCCCTGCTTGAAGAGTGTTAAGTTCTTCAGCTCCTCTTACAAGTGCCTACAGACTTCTCACTGCCAGGAAGCCTCTAGCCTGAAGGTGCTGGGTGCTTAGTGCTCTCTTTTCTTCTTCTTCTTTCAATCTCTCTCTCTTTCTCTCTCTCCGGGCTCTGGTTCTGCTGTTGCCATTTCTCTGCTGCGCCTGCTGCCACTCTCTCCCTCTCTCTCAGGGCTCTGGTTCTGCTGTTGCCATTTCTCTGCTGCGCCTGCTGCCACTTCTTGCCTACTCCAGTGTTAAAGTTCTCAGTCTCCTGGGTCTAAGAGGCTCTCAACTCACAGATTCTAAATCCAAAAAATGTGCTCCACTCTCAGCTCCTCTTCCTTGATGGTGGGAAGGTTTGAGTTTTCCACCTCCGGGATGGCTCCTTTTAAACCTTGCAGGGTGGAAAAACTGACCGATCCCCTTCTTAGGGTTCCATGCATCTTATTTGCATGGCCCTGCCTCCACAAAGAGGAGCCCTGGTGGTATAGTGGGTTAACCCACTAATCACAAGGTCAGAAGGAGAAAGCTGAGGCTCTCTATTCCCGTAAACAGTTACAATCTCAGAAACCTACTGGGGCAGTTCTACCCTGTCCTATAGGGTCTCTATGGGTCAGCATCAACTCGGTGGGAGTGAGTTTAGTGACTATTCACACAAAGGTGCTGTACACTCTAGATTGCATTATTAGCAAATTGTCCATTCCCCTTCTTGGGCCACAAACACCTTATTTGCATAGTCCTAGTCACATGCTGGGAGTTATAAAAACCATGGCATGAAAGACCATGTAAAAGTGATCTGTCATAGCCCAGTTGAGTTCGTTTAAAGCGGGGTATGCCCATACAGAAACATTTTTAGCAGGCCTCAGTCCTTTATTTTGTCTTTCGTGTCCCTACTTTTTTTTGTTGATGGTCTTTATGGTTTTGTGGTTTATAGTTAGGTCTTTGATCTGTCTTGAGTTCATTTTTGTACGTGGTTTGAAGGATGGGTCCTGCTTCATTTGGCAGGTGAAGATCCAGTTTTTCTAGCACTATTTGTTAGCAAAGCTCTCTCTTCCCTACTTATTGTATTTTAGCCGTTTATCGAAGATTACATATCTATAGGTACTTGGTTGTATTTCTGGGTTCTAGGTTCTATTCCATTGGTCTTATCTGTCGTTGTACCAGTACCAGGCTGTTTGGATTACTGTGGCTATTTAATAGGTTATAAAGTCTGGGAGTGAAAGGCCTCCTGTGTTGTTTTTAATTTTTAACAGTGGTTTATTTATCTTGGGTTCCTTTTCTTTCTATATAAAGTTGGTGATTCGTTTTTTTTTTTTTTGTTTCTTTGAAAAACTGTAGTGGGATTTGGATATGAATTGCATTGAATTCATAAAGTATTTTTGGTAAATTTGACATTTAAAAGCAAACTGTGTAAAATGAACATCTCTCGAGTCAATTCTGACTCATAGTGACCATATAGGACCAAGTAGAACCACCCTATAGGATTCCAAGGCTCATGGGTTAAGACTTGGGATACTAACCTCAAGATCAGCAGTTGGAATCCACCCAGTGCCCCGTAGGAGAAAGACAAAGCTGTCTACTCCCATAAAGAGTTACAGCCTTTGAAACCCACAAGGGGCAGTGGGGCCACTATGAGTTGAATCAACTTGCTGGCTGTGAAACCAAACCTTTATGGTACCAGACTGCACATCTGTCTCACACAGAACAGCTGGCGGGTTTCAACCATGAGTCTGGGTTAGCAGCCAAGCGCTTAGCCCTTGCACCACCAAGGCTTCTTAAAATGTTAATAACTTGTCATGCTTGTTTCAGAATAAAAAGAATACATAATTAAGGGCGAGGTAGGCACTATCCCGAGGGGTTCTGTTCCAGTGTGTGGTATCCTTGTCTTCCCTGCCACCTCTGTTATCCCCATGGTGTGGGGACCAACAACAGAAGACCTCGTAGTAAGTAACCTGGGAAGCCCGCAATAGTCTGACTTGCGTGGATAGGGTTTTATTTCTTTTGAATCTTCCATGAAGTATAAAACTCTTGTGTGATAACTAAAATATCTTAAATAGTACAGTATTTTCTATTGTGTTTTAAAGTCAGCTCTGTTTTTCTGTTTCTTTAACTGATCATTTAGATCCAGAGTATAGGAAGTTTTTGGAAAGTTATGCAGCAGATAACGAGAAGATGACCTCTACTCCAGAGACACTGTTAGAGGAGATAGAAGCAAAAAATAGAGAATTAATTGGTAAGCGGGCAAAAAGAATGACAAGGAATGGCTTTTTTATCAGAATACCTAGCTCTGACTCTCACGTTCAATCCCTTGCTAGCTGGGTGACCTGGCTGAGGAATTGGCTAACATCTCTGAGACTCTTTAGCCTGCTGTCAAATGCAAATGCTATTACTTCCCTCACTGTATGATGAGGTGAATTGACCAGATGAGAGAAATCAGTTCTTGGTGACCACACTATGTAACATAAGTAGAAACTATAAAGACCAATATGGGACCCTTGTATATTGCCAAGCCTTTGAAGATAGATTAGTATTTTCTACTAATAAAAAGTTCTGACAATTGTTACTTTCCACAAAACTTGAAATCCTCTTGAGAAATTCTCACTTGGCGGTTGTTTCCCGCGGTAATTGGCTGCTCTTGTGCTGCCAGTACTGCTGAGTGTGAGCATAGTCTGGGGCTCAGCCGGATTTCCACTTGGAGGAATTTATCCTGAGGAAGTATGGGTTCAAAACTCTAGAGACCAGGCTTGGTAGCATGGCTCAGAATGTTGACAAGTACCCTTAAATAATCAGCTTTCATGACTGTATCAGATAAAACTATCTTGGAGCATTCCCTTAGAATACATTTCTAGAAGTGGAATTAATAGGTCAAGAGGATTCAGTATTTAACTCCCCTGCCCAAAATTCTTCCCAGAGAAAGCTGGCCTCGTTTATATGCTATCAATTAAACAAACAATGCTCTCTGTACTTAATTCTCACCAGCATCGATAATTACTCTTAGAAAAATGGTTTCATTGTCTGAATTTGAACTTTTTCACATCTTTAAAAGTATCTTCAGCCTGCCCAATGAAGAGAGAATGCTGTAGAGTTGGGAACTTTCTGCTTAAAGGGTGTTTTTTCCACCCTGGGAGGGTGGCAGGGAATGTCAGAAAATGGAATCCTTTCTAGGGGTCGATAAGTATTATTAATAATCTGTTTACATTTGTGTAGCTAAAAAGACAACCCCACTTTTGAGCTTCCTGAAAAACAAGCAGGTAAACCTTTTGATTTTATGGTTTTCTCAATACTTTTTATTTCCTTGGTTTACATTCTCTGAACATTTCAGAGCGTTGGGGGCCTATAGGAAGAATTGGTGCTCTTCCACCATCAATCCTTAAAGATTTGGCTCATTGATCTTACTCTCTGGCCCTCTTCTTTCCTCTGGTTGTTGGAATCCCTTTCCAGAAAGGGATTCACTTTGCAAACCTAGAGAGTCCTTAGTTTGTCTCAAAGATACTCTTGATCTCCGGAATGAACAGGGTAGCACGGGGTGACCTCTGAGGCCAGCAAGCACTGGTCCTCATTCTCTCTTAGGTCCTGAATGGGGTGGGGTCGGGTCAAAGAGGTAGAGAGGAAAGATGATCCAGTTTAGTGGGAGCCCACCATGCCTTCGGGATTTGGTTAAGGTTTTGCTGAGAATTATCTTATTTGAAGGCTTGTGTTGCTTTCTCTTTCTAGAGAATGCGAGAAGAAAAAAGAGAAGAAAGAAGGAGGCGAGAAATAGAACGAAAAAGACAAAGAGAAGAAGAGCGACGTAAGTGGAAAGAAGAAGAGAAACGAAAAAGGAAAGATATAGAAAGACTAAAGAAGATAGACAAAATTCCAGAAAGGGACAAAATAAAGGAAGAACCAAAGATTAAGGTATGAAAATACGGGTACCAGACTGCATGTTCCTGAAAATTGCATGTATCTCTTTCTTTAGATATGCACGCATCTTGTGTTGGTGTAAATAGAGGTTGGTTTTGGTTCTGGTTTGGGGGTGGAGGGAGGGAGATGAACCAGTTAAAAGAAAAGATTTTCTGCACATTACTATTAATTTTATAAGTTAAAAGCATTTAAAAGGATGGTGATCAGTTCTTTAGGGCAGATCTATATTGTTTTTATCAGGGGTCATTATTAATTTGGGTATTAACTATTCTCTCAGTTCATCGTAAATAAGGGCTTAGGGCTGGCTGGCATTGTTTATGGGTTGTATTCAGCTTTGCCTTCATATTTGATACATGAAGTTGCCTCATCTGTTTGTTTTCCACTGTCTTCAGGTACACAGGTTTCTGTTACAAGCTGTGAATCAGAAAAATGTAAGGACCAAGTCCATGATACTGAGCACCTAGTATCATGTCATACACACAGGTCTTAAGTCCTTTTGGTGGTGGTGTTACCTGTGGAAAGCCCCTTGGGTCTTCTTAAAAGCTGAGCTACTTACACACCTGCTTCAACAGGAAGCCCAGGTGTCTTCCCCATGCTTTGTCATGTACCAGAAGCTCCAGCAACATAGAACAATATACCATATCTCATCTCCTTCTCTGCCTCTCTGCTGCTTTACTGGAGTCCAAGTGATAAATAGCCTGGATTTCTCTCTCATGTGATTCCCGTGGTATCTTGTCATCTAGTGGGGAATCTGAGGAGCAGGTTCTGGTCTGTGCATTGCATTTAGAAGAGGAAAACATGTAGAGCATCCCAAGCTCTCTGCTGCCCTTTTGGGACTAGGGCTTGGGCAGCGCTTGCTCCAAGGAGCTTTCTGGGGAGTGGCCGCCCTCGTGCTTTGGAAACCGTCTGAGAGCAATCTCAGAAATGGTGGCATGGATCTTCCTGTTTCACCTATTGAAAGTTCAGCAGTTTATGTGACTAGGGTTCCCCGAGTCTCTGTGGGGCTTATTATTGATGCTGAGGGACTGTGGGGGTGGGGGTGGCGGAAAGTGGTTCACATCTTAACACCCATCTGCAATCTCTGTCTGCCAATCACTAGTGACTTGACTCGCTTTCCCTTATTATTACCAAGACAGAAAGAAGGTTGAGCTAGCCATGCTAGGACATTCATTCATGTTCTTGTGAGAGTAATGAACATCTTGGTTTTTGATAAAGATGTTCATTATAAACCTGCAACATGGAATTCTCCCTTTGAAACATTGGTGCTTTCTTAGTATTCAGCTGGGCCTCACCATTAGCAGTGGCTCTGTGTGCGCTTCATGCCTAAGTCTCTTGTTGGTGCTTTGTCTTTTGCTTGAAGACTTGTCTGTTGCCTTCACTCTGAGATTTGCAATTCTTCTATTTTGCCTAAAATCTCCCTGAATATCCAGCACTTGTGGATATCTTAGAGAGATTTGTAGCAGTGGTCAGAATAAGGAGCTGTCTGGTTAGCAATTTGGATTTGATAAAACACATGTGTGTATTTATATGTATATTTATATATATCCAAGGGGGCTTCAGCAAGTTCATAGAGAAATGGGATTTGCCCACAAACTTTTGAAGCCCTCTCATACATATGAGTGAACATATAGATTTGTATAAATAACAAGCAAAGAGTTGCTATTCAGTCAAGATGGAACTCAATTCTGCTGTAGAAGCCATTTGGATTTTTAAAATCAAATGCCAGATAATTCTTGCTCTTGGTCTCTGATGGTCACACAATTGTTCCACCATCAAGAAAGTAGATCATTCTCAGGTTCAAGGCAAACTCTTTCTGCAATGGATCTCTCCTTTAGTGACCAAGGTATTTGTCACTCCAAGTACTAAATAAAAGCAGTCTAACATGAAATATGCCCTGCCTTTTAAATTGGTGGTATATTTCCACATGAAGTTTTATCCACATGCCGATTTGCTGCAGAAGACATACTTGGAAGGGTGCATTGGTTCACTGAAAGGTTGACCTACCTGAGCCCAAATAAGTCTTGATCCTGTTGCCACAAAGTGATTACGCTGCTCCATTTGTGTATATAACACTTTCACATTAATGCATAGCAGCTTTTTTAGCACATCACTATTCTTGTGCACTAATTGTTCACCTGCAAGTTTAAGGGCACCTGCAGATAGAGGGGACCGTCTATAAGCCTAAGTTTTAAATATTTAGTACATTGTGGGAGGTTGTTTGTAATTTAAAAAGAAGCAATGTCCTACTTTTCGAAATAAAAATTAACCTATTTGCTTTAAAGCTGCTCAAGAAGCCAGAAAAGGGGGAAGAAAAAGAATTGGACAAAAGAGAAAAGCCCAAGAAATTAGACAAAGAAAACCTGAACGATGAAAGAGCCAGTGCGCCAAGTTGTACCATTACCAAGCGTCCCGATATGGAGCTGAAAGATGAAAAGCCCAAGAGGTCAGTTGTTAGGGTGCTTTGATACGTCTTGAGTTGGACGTGTTTCTAGATGGCAGCTAGTTTTGCTGCTATGTCCTAGTCATGTGCCTGAATCAAGAAATGCAGTGCTATCGGCTTAATGATAATGGGTTTGGGTTTGGGGGTCTTATTTTACTAGGGGCAGGGAGGATGAGGAGAAAAGGAACATTTCAAATAATCTAACATCTTAATCTGGGTGGATCATTCTAGATTGCTGTTCTTTATTTAAACATCAGTAGTAGTAGTTGTGCATATGTGCGCACGTGCGTGTGCGGAAACATCCCATTGTTTTTTAATGCCATGTTTCTGTGAATGTTTGTTTTTAAACTTTCTACTAAAATTCACATTAGCTAAGGGGAAGGTTTACAGAGCAGATCATCAGTCTTTTCTTCAACAATTCATACACATTTTGTTTCAATTTACTTGTTCTAATCCCCTCAATGTACCAAGACTTCCCCACTTCTTCCCTGTGTTTCGTGTTTCCATGCCTTCTCCTTTCCTAACCTTCTCAACTGTGTCCTTGGGGAAATGTGGATATTCGATCTTGAATGGGCTGCTTATTCTAACACAGGGGTGAGTTCAGTTCCTGAATTCTTGTAGATTCTATCAGTCTATCCAACCAATAAGCTTGGTCTCTTTTATGCTGTGCAATTTTGCGCCACATTTTCCTCCCACTCTCTCCAAGACCTCCATTTCAGAGCAGTCGGGAATGGTCGCTGGGCACTATCTCCTGGTTTCAAAGAGGCTGATATTTGTGTGGCCCATTAGTTCACTGGACCCAATGTTTTTCTTTCTGCCTTGCCATTGTCATTGTTCATCTTTGCTCTAGACGGAGAGAGATCAATAGAGCTTGGAAGACCCCAGTTGTTACTCATCCAAGTAGGGTGGAACACATTTGTGAGCTGTATTTTGTCAATTGACCTTGTCAGTTTCCCACAGAAACTATGATCCTGAGTCCCCAGGTCCAGTGAATCATTCCCTCAAGGTGTCTGACTTGGGCTAAGAAGTTTTGGCAGCTTTGTACCCTATATGCTCCTACACACTCATGAGTATATTTGCAGTACAGGTAAATATATGCAGGCAGATATCTTCTGAAATCTTTATGTATTAGTAAGTATAATCCTACTCTCCTTCTGACACCTGTTTAGCCTGTGTATCTACCCAAAAAGATAAAAAGGAGTTGTGGTGGTGTAGTGAGTTATGCTTTGGCCAACTAATCCCAAGGTCAGCAGTTCAAACCCACTAGCAACTCCACAGGAGAAAGATGAGGCTGTCTGCTCCTGTAAAGATTGTCTTGGAAACCCACAGGGAGCGTTATACCCTTTCCCATAGGGTAGCTGCTATGAGTCAGAATCGACTCCAGGGTAGTGAGTTTGCTTTTCATGTTTGGACCTATCCATACATCTATTTGTAGATCACTACTACTACAGGATTGTGTGTTAACAGTATTTGCCTCTGTTGCCTTTAATGCTTGCAAAACTTTTAGTGTCTTGCCTGCCTCCATAATATTTTGCCAACCTCTCTCTTATTTCCCATTGCCTTATCCATCCAGATTAACATTTGTCTACCCTCCTGCCCATACCTTCTCTCCTGCTCTTCCTCGCCCATGCCTAGTAATCATCAAAGAATGTTTCTTATGCTGTGGAAACCTCTTGATGCTTTAGAATAATGCTCACATGTAATATTTGTCATTTTGAGAATTGACTAATTTTTTCCAGGTTCTTCTATGTTATATGATGTGTTTTACAGATTGACTATTATACTTTGGTGTCATGGATTATTCCACTGAGTCTATGTACCACAGCTTATTTATCTATTCTTCCACTTATGGGCATTTGATTTGCTTCCATCATTTTGCTGTTGTGAAGTGCTGTGATGAACATAGGTGTGCATATGTTTATGCCTGTCATAGCCCTAATTTCTCTAGGATATATACCAAGGAGAGGGATTTCTAAATCATGTAGTATTTATATTCCATGTTTTTGAGCAAGCCTCATATCATTTTTCACTGTTTCACTGTCCCACCCAATAGGCGATAGAGTATGAAGGTTCTGGTCCCTGCACCCTTGCTAGCATTTGTTGTTATTTTTCTTTGGGGTTTTTTTGGTGTGCTCTGAAAATGCAGCCACATTGCAGTGGCTAAGCCAGAAACCGAATGTTCTGCATTTGTGATTGCACGATCTTTGAAGGTTCGTTCTCACGTTTGCTTTTCCTGCAGGGCTGAAGATGAAATTTGCAGAGACTACAGAGAGCGGGAGAGGGATTATGAGCGAGAACGAGATCAAGAGCGGGCACTCCGTGAGCGAGAAAGACTGAAGAGGCAGGAAGAAGAACGCCGTAGGCAGAAGGAGCGCTATGAGAAGGAGAAGGCTTTTAAAAGAAAGGATGAAGAAATGAGGAAGGAGAAGGAAGCATTTCGTGATAAAGGAAAAAAGAATGAAAGTACAGAGACATTAGGCAGCTCTGAAAAAACTGAGAAAAAAGAGGAAGTGGTTAAAAGAGACCGAATAAGAAACAAGGTATGCTGGGTTTTGTTAAACTTGTTTGCTTCCATGAAGACTTTGTTGGGGTTTTTTATGTTTGTTTGTTTGTTTTTATGAAGACTTTGTTTATTGGTATTTTCCCCCCTGCAGATGTAAAGGAAAGAGCTAGCTCATGGTTTGTTACAGCATTTTTTAAAAGGAATTTCAACTATCTGAAAGTTTTTGGTGGTGGTGGTGGCCACATTGTTTATTTGCATGTGGACAATGTCCTGTGGAAGTTTCAGAGGCACACAAAAGTAGGGAGGGTAGAGCTTGAGTCCCCTTGTGCCCATCACATTTCCACAACGGTCAGCTCTCTCTCCGCCTCAGGTCTGTTCTTCTCTAGCCCATCTTTCAATGTATTATTGTAGAGCAGACTGGAGATGCCACCTTTCCTCACTTTCTTTATGGGGAGCTATGATTTAGGAAGCATTCAGTTGTTGATATAGTGATGTGAATTTTGGCAACAGATATTGGTGTTACACAATGTGATTAATGCAATTTATATCACTAAATTTTGCAGATAAAAAATGACATTGGTAATTATTGTGTTATATATATTTATATATAGAATGCATATCTACACATGCGCGCGTGCGTGCGTGCGTGTGTGTGTGTGTGTGTGTGTGTGTGAGTGTAGAGAGAGAGAGATACCTGATAATATTAAATCATTATTTCCCTTGAGATACTTTTTGATAAGTGGGTGCTGGGATATGGAACCCTGAGAGAAATGGAGACTGGACTAATGTGTGCTTCTCTCTATTTAACAAAGATCTTCATAATAATACAACCTATTAGCATGTTCACATCAAAGACAATGAGCAATAATTCCTTGATAGCATATCTAGACAGTGTTGAGAATTTCCCCAATGATCTCATGAATGTCATTTTTTAAAATAATTTTATTGGGGGCTTGTACAACTCTTATCACAATCCATACATACATCCATTGTGTCAAGCACATTTGTACATTTGGTGCCATCATCATTCTCAAAACATTTTCTTTCTACTTGAGCCCTTGGTATCAGCTCCTCATTTTTCCCCTCCCTCTCCACCCACTCCCTCATTAACCCTTGATAATTTATAAATTATTATTTTGTCATATCTTACACTGTCTGACATCTCCCTTCACCCACTTTTCTGTTGTCCATCCCCCAGGGAGGAGGTTATATGTAGATCCTTGTAATGTTCCCCCTTTCCACCCTACATTCCCTCCACCCTCTGGTATTGCCACTATCACCACTGGTCTTGAAGGGATCATCTGCCCTGGATTGCCTGTATGAATGTCTTTTATATGAAAGGATTTCAACAAGGTATACAAATTTGCAGTTCCTTGAAACATCTCTGAAGTCTCTTTTCATCTAATCCTCCCCCTTCCTTGGGCTTTCCTACCATTTGTTTGTGGTAGAAACCCCTTGGTACTGTAGAGCTTCTCATGGTCTGGTTTTGCCAGTTGTAGCTCAGTGGTGTTCGCCATCTTCCTCTCCAATGTGGCTGACTAGATGTATCTAAGACAGGCATTGGCAAGCGTTTTCTGCCAAGTGCAAGCTGGTAAAGACTTTAGATTTTGTGAGCCTGACAGTCTCGGTCCCAACTAGTCAACTCTGTACAGAAGTGCCCACAGGTGGCTTCGTGCCATTCAAGCTCTGTTGACAACAGGTGGCTCCTGATCTTGATGACATCCAGATTCAAGTTTGGAGCAAGAACATTTCAGAGGTAATTCTGTATATAAGGGGGTAACCCCCCCCCAAAAAAAAAAACCCCCCACAACGGAATTGCACAGAGCGAAGCAGAGCTTTCATAGTACTCAATTTTCCTGCTAGGCTGACATCAAGCAACTCGCTCTGAATTAGTGCACCCAGCGGCGTTGCCTGAGAAGGTTCTCTCTGGTCACAGTGAATTTTTTGATAAAAGCAGTTTTGTTTTTTTGTGGTGTCCAATTTAAGAGAACAGCGTGTGGCTGTGAAATTTTGTTTCCTGCTCAAAAAAAATGCCACTAAAGCTTGGGGATGTTGAACTCAGCTTACAAGGACAGCACTATGGGAAAAACTCAAGTGTACAAGTGGTTTTCTCATTGCGAAAAAGGTAAAATGTCAATTGACAACAAAACTCTTTCTGGATGTATGTCAGTTTCCCAAAGGGATTAAAATGTTGACTGTAGTACATTTGGAGTTCGGTCCACCAGGTCAGACAGTTAAGCTTTCTATTTTGAGGTTCTGAAAAGATTGTGTAACAGTGTGTGACAAAAAGGCCTGATTTGTGGCAAACGGGGGACTGGTTTTGCCACCACGACAATATACCTGCTCATGCAGCTATCTCAGTGCGCCAGTTTTTGGCAAAACAGCATGCCTCTCTTGCCCCATACACCTTACTCACCTTACCTAGCTTCCTGCGACTTTTTATTTCTAAGAATGCAGAGGGATATGAAAGGACAGCGATTTGACAATATAGAAGAAGTGAAGGAAAAAATGAGGGAAGTGTGAGCCATCCGAACAGATGAGTTTGAAAAATGTTTCCAAGAATGGATTCACAGATTTGACAACTGTATTAAGTGTAATGGAGAGTACTTTGAAGGTGATAAGGTTGTTTTGTAAAACAATTTAAATACATAGGTTTGAAAAAACAATTTCTGTTTTTTTGGGGATACCCCCTCACACTTCTTTTTTTTTAAATCATTTTATTAGAGGCTTATACAACTCTTATCACAATCCATACACACATCAATTTTGTAAAGCACATTTGTACATTCATTGCCCTCATCATTCTCAAAACATTTCCTCTCCACTTAAGCCCCCGGCATTA